AACAACATTATAACATAGATTAGAAAATAGCATAATAAGAGCTCTTTAGTTTTTTTATGGACTTCATTTTAATAATTATTTTATTTAACCAATAATAGATGTATGTTGATTTGTTTATTTGACTTATTTATTATTTATTTGTATACAATCAAATACACAATTCATCAAATGATGATGAGTGCTCTACAACATGACTCCCATCAAATATAAATGATTATCCTTTTTTATTTTCATTCCAGGACCAACGACTTCTACAGGAGTTTAATAAGATTGAACCTCCGCTCATATTTGAATGTAACGTGGCGTGTTCATGTTACCGGACGTGTAAAAACAGAGTGGTGCAGGCAGGAATCAAGTAAGTATAGCAACAAAAGTATAGCAAATCTAGTTATAGTTTATTGATATTACATATTTACAAAATGGTGCTATGAAATACATTACAATTACTTCATTAATAGAAATGCACATATTACCTTGTTACCTTACTTTATTATCATATGCTCCAGAGTCCGCCTTCAGCTGTACAGGACAGAGAAGATGGGGTGGGGGGTTCGAGCTTTGCAAGACATTCCACAAGGAAGTTTCATCTGCGAGTAGGTTTTTAATTGATTTTATTGTGTAAAATGTTGCATTATATTAAGTTCATTTTTTTTTACAGATATGTAGGAGAGCTAATTTCTGACGCAGAGGCAGATGTTAGAGAGGATGACTCATATTTGTTTGACTTGGACAACAAGGTGAGGCTATTTTCTATAAAGTTCTAAAATTAAGGAACACATATTGTGCTTGAGCTCACTAAATACTGTAGTTATAATCTATAACCGTGGTTCATTAATCTATAATTTGGTATTTTAAAAGACAATATTCATCTAAAACAGCTTAATTAAATAGAAAGTCTGCATTAGAAAATTGCTGTGCCCGATGGGAGCTGACGTCGTCATAAATGTTATCACAACAAAGAGTTGATGAAAAGCTACAGATCACGCTAGTGAATAGCAGATTTACCAAAATAACTATAGGATGCTGCCAAACCCTTATGTGTATCACCAATTTAAAAAAATTAAACTGGAGAACACTGTAGAGCAGTGGGCAGTGAAAACAGGAATTGTTCACTGAACAAACATGGCGCTTATGGTCTGGTTCCATTCTCAGGCCAGTGGTTTAATAGTATTCCTATTCCTCCTATAGGATGGGGAAGTATACTGTATTGATGCCCGTTACTATGGAAACATCAGCCGGTTCATAAACCACCTGTGTGACCCAAACCTGATCCCGGTCCGAGTCTTTATGCTGCACCAGGACTTGAGGTTCCCCCGGATTGCTTTCTTCAGCTCACGGGACATTCTCAGTGGACAGGAGCTCGGGTGAGGCCTCAAAACACAAAATATATGCACTATACTCTGAAGTGAACTGTCAGTTGTTGAATTGAGTTGAATTTGAGAATTATATCTATATATGTATATATAAATATATTTTTTACAATACAGTGGATATTTTTGTCAATTGTCTTGTGTGGTTTGCAAGAGAAAGAGAAAAGTAAAGATCAGGTAAATCAGGTAAAAAGAGAGAGGGAGATGAGAGAGACAGAGACAGAAATGAGAGAGTGGGGTAGTCCCACACTGGGTGTTATACCGGCAGGTACAGAGGTATGTACACAGGGCATTATGACATAATGAGGGCAGGACTGGTCAGTGAGGGAATGCACCTGAGAGAGGAATGTCAGTTTTGATAGAAAAGTACTGACTGAAGCTGGGACTAAATAACTGTAAAGGAAATATTTTTTATGTGAAAATGTGTTTTGCTATTACAAAAGCCTGCTGCATTGGTGTGTAAAGTCTTTAGCATTTCAAAGCCAGCTGGCTAGCTAGATCCACACAGGCTCACCACAGATGCACATTATGCCAGTATCTTGGACAAGTCATCAGTTATGCATATATTTGCTTGGTCACGGTCAACATGCATAATACACGAAACTCTTGTTGAAAGGGGATGTCAATAATTGCAGTGTTGAAAATGTGTATTCATTTGACATTCAAAATAAGAATTCATGCCACCAGACTGACCCAAATAGTAGTAAAAGCTGAATTTCTACATAACAAAAACAATACAAACACTATGGGTTTAGAAGAGAGGTGTGTGCAAGTTGATATGGGTGGAGAGAATAAGTGTTTTATATGAGATGGGGCTACATAAAGGGTAACCATGCAAGAGCCGGAGCTGCTAAGGTCCTTTTCCATGAAGAGAATGGATAGGGTTAGAAATAAGAACATCAGCTGCATAACTCATGTTAAATGTTCGGTGTCAAAGTCTGAGATTCCATGTATTACAGTGGATGGAGCAGAGGAAGGATTGTAAAGCGATAGTTGGGTCCGTGAGACCATGAGACTAGATCTTAACACAATTCCTTATATACATTGTGCAATTCAGTTATCAATTTTGGCCTCATAATTTTTTTATATTGATATTTTGATATTTTTGTTATTTTTGTATTGCCATTATAGCACTACTTTTTGTGATTCCCAGGCCTAATTATTTTGATTACCTTTTTATAGCAAGTATTTTATTTGAAGCCCCAGCAACTAAATAACCCATATGTGGATAAATAATCAGATTAAATTGACTCGCATGTCTTTATTTTCTTTTAGTTTTGATTACGGAGACCGCTTCTGGGACATAAAGAGTAAGTACTTCACATGTCAGTGTGGGTCAGAGAAGTGCAAACATTCAGCGGAAGCAATCGCCCAGGAACAGAGTCGATTGGCCCGACTGGAGACCTGTCCAGAACCAGGAACGGATTCTGGAATTTCAGTCCTCGGAAACCCATAAAACACTGCATTTCAGAAATCAATAAGACAAGAAATAAATTATGAACAATTTACATGTTGTATGTCTGGTGCTATGGTGTCTTTTATATGAAATGTACATTATTATAGAGGACTTGGACTCTTTTGTGTCCCAATAGGAAAATATATGTCTGTATAGTTTTACTGTATATTCATTTTACTGCTAAGAACTTCACATGTATGTTTGTCCTAACACATTTTTTACTCAGATTAACTGAATATTCTGTAATGGATTTATGTGTTTACTTTTTATAGTTTTTTTTATTATTATTTTTTACCTTCGGATGCTAGAATAATAAATTAGCTCAAATAAGTATGAGTCATTATGGCTGAAACTTTGTAATAAAACTACTTTCTTGGGCTCAGATGATCTTCGTAATGTGAGTTTTCAAAGTGTGTGTTTTTTGTATGTTTGTTAAAGGTCCTATTATACAAAATTGATTCTTGTCATCTTAAAGCCAAGTTGTTATAATGTCTACATCTCCAAAGCTCAAAATGCTCTCACACCTTGTGATGTCATGCAGTGGTAATTTTCAAGTTAACAGCTACCTTTTACCTTGAGTTCAGTAGAGAATAGGCAATTACAAGGCTGAAATCATCCAACTGATTAAAGTGAAGGTGTATGGAGTTTAAAAACGGTGGATAACTTTCTGTATTACCACATGACATCACAAGGTGGAACAGAGTGTTTCCTGTTTGAGGGAAGAACTCTCAGTAAACTAAATTCACAGGGTTTGTGTGTTAAACGTGGGAATGAAACAAAACACCACTCCAGGTATATTTTTGATGAGAAAACATAACAAATCAGAAATGGTTTAATACAGGCCTTATAAGCATTGAAAATCAACTCAAGTTAAAATAAATTATATTTACATAATGGTGACGTAGACCAGTGACCAGATGCTCCTTTTTACCCAGGACAGTCCCTGTTTTGAGCCCTGTGTCCCCTGTCCCAGCAGATTTATCAAAAAACCTCAGATTTCTCTATTTTTGACCAATTTGACATTTGCCAACAGTAACGAGGGCAATATATTGTAATTTGTTGAGCTAAAACACACACAACATGCTTGAAAATGACCAAAAGGTAAAAATTTTAAAAAAAGTACTCCATTGCAACGACAGAAGTATGACTGACACACAAGTCAGTTGAGAATGGACAGTGTTACATACTCTTTTTAGAGCTTTGACTGATTTGATTTACAGATCAGTGCCGCTGGTACAGTGTTGAGACTGGATTTTCCAGGGAACAGTTTTTATATTAACCATCCCAATCTGGGTGTGTCCCAGTTTTTGATTTTGAAAATCTGGTCACCCTACCAGTGATTCTCGTTGTTGAATCATCAAATTCAGAAAGGGGCAATAAGGGAGGACAGCACAAAAAAACAAGACAGAGGTCTCACTCTGTGGTTTGTGAACCTGGATCATTCAATCCACAGGTTTCAGAATGACAAGATATAAGGACATTTACAGTTAACACATTTAAAACAAAATATATGTTTTGAATAGGGAAAAGTCCTCATGTACCAGGAAGCTGAAACCCATTAATAAGAAACAATCCAGTTACACTCAAAATTACACGACTACAGGATATGATAAGCTGTATTTTTCCATAACATAAAAAGGTTTCTTGCTGACAGAAAAGTAAATAACTAAAATAAATCTATATCTGAACCTGTTTTACAATATGGCATTAAACTAAACTGGAGACAGACAGACAGAAAGGTGAAGTGAGTCAATTTACAATTAAAAAAAACAAAAACAAAACACCTATAACGGAATAAATGCAAGTTACTAAAGTTTAATGCCATACTGAGCAAAATTCCAGACAAATCCATGGCCATCATGGAGACAAGCAGGTGGTATACCCTCTATTGAGAAAGTTACATAATACACCTTTAATCAGTCTACTATAATTTAATCACAGACAGAAACGTATACTAGCCAATTACTTTTAGCTGTCGGATTTTTAATTCTAAATTAATAACAACTGTTCTTTTATAGCCAGGTCAGACTGGGTGACACTATTTCCCCACCGTGACTTCAGTAAATGCTTTCTTATCTTATCGTAATCCCACTTTTAAACCTACTCCTTCGCTCCACTTCAGAGTGACGCCTCTCGTCTACACACGCTCTGTGTTACGTCCAGGTGCGCAGAGCACAGGTGCGCTCGCGCTGCCTGGTGACTGCAGCCACGAAGAAAGATTTCGACTTAGTTACGATGATCGCCGGAGTACGGCTCAGCGCCTTTTAAAATTGCTTTGGCCTCCATTTGTGGGTTGTTTTTTTAAAAGATTTTTTTAGTTTTGGGGAGTTTTTAAGAAGAAAAACGCCGGGGTCGGGGTCGGGAAATGGGGAAGAAGCAAAGCAAGCCCTCCTCGGACTCGGAGTACGGTGAGTGCACATCCAACCCCCGGGACTTGTTCTGGGAATCACTGCTAATTACAGGCTAATGATCATTACTGTCAGAAATGTGCCCAAATGGGCTAAATGTGCTACGAATCATTGGTTTTTATTATATTTTGGCTATTTTCCAACTGGATTTTGATAAACATCGTGTAAAAATGATCAAAAGAAGTTAGGCTGATATTGGATGATGGATTGAGACAACGTTACAAGATAATTAATGGCAAAAACAGGCCTCATTCATTTTATTACAATATACGTTGTTTTTCCTGATTTTATGCTATACTGTGGAACATTTTAGGAAAAGCTTGGAGAATAGACGACTTTTAAAACTATAATAATCTTTGACATGTAACTGACATATCCACATTTGTCATACCGTTAGCATATTTAAACAAAAATTAGTAAACGCATGCGTCAGTTAGTCTTAGTAATGGGACTTTTGGTTTGATCTGTTTATGGATCTGTTTATGGCAAAGAGCTGTTCAAAAAACTGGCTCTTTGGATTGTGTCTTATAATTAAATATACAAAGTGAGAACGTTAACTACAAAATAATCACAGAGAGAAATGACCAAGGCTTAGATCTGTTTAAAAAAATTCCAACTGAGAGTGGGAGGGTGTTTACCCTTTGAAATTATACATAATCTAAATAAAACGTTGCACTACAATAACTGCTTAATCATATAAAAATTATGCAAAAAAAAAAAAAAAATTAAAAACAAATTAGAAAGTAAAAGATTTAGTTAGATCTAGTTCCTACAGTTCATGTTAAAAACAGTTGATCGTTTGCTCATGAACGTCACATCACTTGTTATAGACTCACTTGTATCATCATGTCAGTGGGGGTGCAAAAAGCATTTTTTTTCATTTTTTTTTTTTTACTGTAACCCCGCTAGTCGCCGCATTCCAAATAGGAAGTGTTCATGGGTGCTCTTCCGGCTCTTTCAACTATTTCCAATTGACATTTACATTGAAAAAATGTCACCCCTCTCTCTAACTGCTACAGTGAGCCTCGTCATTTTGGTCTTAAAATGTTTGTATTAACCCACTCTACATGATTTTGGTGTTTTTATTTTGGCATTTTTCTCTGTTAATAAATTTATATTACTAATATGTAGCCTGGCTCCAAATTGGCCCCTGTAACTGTAAGCCTTGTGAGCTTCATTTGACTGGAGCCGGAGGCTATGGGTGATGCCACGCTCCCTTTGTCCACTTCTTTATACAGTTTAGTTTTAAACATAGTTTTACAAACAGGGCTATACTTAACAAACGGCTAGAGTAAACTTTTTTCTGGTGTCCTGTTTTAAAGTTCCTACATCCTGTTATGTGTTATTCGATATATTGATGAATATGTAGGCTATATTGACTTTATGGGCAGCTTTTAAAAGACTAACAAACACTCCCTGCTTATAATGTCATCCTCAAATACATTGTAAAAACACATAGGAAGTAACACAAATGAAGGATGACAAAGAAAATAGCAATGACTAACTATTTCTGTGACTAGGAAGTACCAAAACTCAGGAAATCCATTGTTTTCATGTTGGTTAACATCTTCCCTGTAACCTGTATGCACCTTTGCCTGTTATGAAAATTGATGATGACAAGTTCAGTTGAGCAAATTATTGACCAGAAGTGGCTTAAAGGAAGTGAAAATGCACAGGTTTGGTCACATGATCAGACTTTGAGGTACCTAAATATTATAATACCTAATACTATTCCTCATTTGGACTACACGCTTTCAATTTGGCCATGTTTCTGAGTAATGGGCTAGAATATGTGTTTACCTCAAAGATGTTGCATGTGTGCCCTGTAATCGCATTTCAGTACTGGTTCAATACTGGATGAGGACCCAGTTATTAGTAGATAGATAGTAGTATTGTATAGCCAGCGCTAACAGTTTGCTGTAAGATTCTGTCCAATGCTTTTCCCACAAGCCTACATCACCCATGCTCCCAATTTTCCATAAATACAAAAGCATGATACAAAACTAAGGCTGAAGTCTGCTCCAAACCACATGCTTTTACTGCCAGGGATAGGCTGTAGACCTGTTTTATTAGTGGCCAGGAAATTAGTTTATAATAAACTAAAAAAAAAAGTTGAATAAAAAATTGTGAACGATCGATGTGAGGAAAAAATTAGTCTTTCTGTTGGTCATATGGCCCAGCTCTACAATTTAAAGGTCACAAAATTGACTCTTGAGCTTCAAGTCATGTTAGAATACTGTTGCCTCCACAAAAACATACCTGGAGTTGTGTTTAGTTTCATTCACACATGTTTGAGTAATTCTTTGTTGTTAGTCTGCCCTCTCCATAAGCTCAAAATGCGCTGTTCCACCTTGTGATGTCATGAAGTGGTAGTATTTAAGTTAACAGCCACCTTAATTGATTCTAACATATAGAGGGTATAGGTGTACAGAGTTTAAAACACTGGAGCACTTCCTGTATTACCACAACGAATTTCCTATGGTATAATGAAGTATTTATCTAATCTAATCTAATCTAATGACATCACAAGGTGAAGCCAATGACTTTTTTCCAAGAGTTTTACGAGAACATAAAAACTGTGTTATAGTTTCAGTCTGTGAACTTTAGGACAAAGCAGTAATTTGACACCACAGCATCTCAGAACAGGTTTTGTTTCCTTATACGTTTTGACAACAGATATGAGTTTTGATGAGAATGTTGAATGAGCCTCCAGTGATAATTGCATATTTTTCCAAAATATTTTACTTTATCCTGTGTTCAGGACCAGACCAGATGGTTGTCTGATGAAATCTTGCCCAAAGCACACAGTGTTGTTGTGTCCCAGGACAAGATGTTTTTAGGGTCCATATTGCACTATTTTCTGATCTGTCATAATGCTGTTTCCTCATCAAAAATATACCTAGAGTTCAACATCCAAACCCTACTTACTGTTCTTCTCTCAAATGGAAAACACTCCACCTTGTCATGTCATATGGTAATACAGGAAGTGCTCCACTGTGGTTTTAAACTTCATACACCTTCACCAGAATCATTTGGCAATCTCTGCTAAACAGCTAGTTGCCATTAACTTGAAAATTCCACTGACATCACAAGGTGGAACAGAGCATTTTGAGATTTGGAGATGGGGACAGCTAATAAAGGGCAACTCAAACATGTGTGAATGAAACAAGACATAACTACAGGTTTGTCTTTGAGGAGGTAACAACGTTATAACATGGCTAAAAGCTCTCAAGAGACCATTTAGTGTAATATAGGACCTTTAAGCCCAAATGCCCACTTCTGTAACCCCAGTATGCAGCAAGGATGACCTTAGACCAAAAGGAACAAGTTGTTGATTGATTAGATGATAACTGCATTGTCACCATATGATCTGAATCAGTTGTAACACACAAAGAGAGACTTAAATAGCAATAAATGCCTTCTCACTTTTTTTTTTATTAATTTGGCATAAATAAAAAGGTGGTTATTGTCTAAATAAGTGGGATAAGGAAAATAGACCTAAATATAGTCTACAGGACAACCAAAAGAGGGACATGTGGTAATCCTTATGCAGCTTGTTAAATCAGGGAGCACATCCAATTTAAAAACAGACATACTGCATTATGATGCGTCAAGTGTGGTAGCACATGCAGCCTTGTTATTACACAGTGTTATTAGTAGATCATTGTGCATGCCATGCTGCTGTTCTTGGTACTGTTCTTTTGAATCAGAGCCACATAGTAAATAAATACAATACAATGAAATCCATCTGGCATGCCGCTAACTATTTGCATTTGCCCCGCGTGTGGTTAGCCTTCACTTAGTGCTTTCAAAGTAAGAGTTTCTTATTTAAACAGCTCGTATTCCACATTTTCTGATCTGTGTGTTAATTTTGTTTCCTCATTACAAACATACCTGGAGTTGTGTTTTGTTTCATTCACACAAATCCTGCATATTTAGGTGTATGAAGGAGTTCTTCACCTTCATACACCATACGCTTTCACTAGAATCATGTGGATGATTTCAGCTCTGGAATTGCCCATCTCTACTGAACTAAAAAATAAAAGGTAGCTGTTCACTTGAAAACTACTGGTTCATGACATCACAAGGTGGAACAAAGCATTTTGAGCTTTTGAGATATAGACATTGTCTGATGAGCGCAGGGTAACTGTAACATCTGTGAATGAAACAAAACAACTCCAGGTACGTGTTTGATGAGGTAACAGCATTATAACATTGCTTAAAGCTCAAAAGAGTTGATTTCACTTTAATTAGCCAAGTATTATTAGTACTTTGACCCACCCAGTATAAAATAACTCCCTATTGTTCACAACATGGATGCTATTGGCATAACAAAATCAGACTTTGCACTTATATTCTATCAGCATAAATTATCTTTTTCAGGAGGTTGCCAACTTGCCCTGGGTCCCACCATTATCATAGCTATATTATTTTGCATAGGGTGGCCTATCTGGAAAGCAAATAAGTTACATACAAACTACAAAGCTGTTTTCAACACACAAAGGTGAATTAATGACTTACTAATGCGTGTGATTGTGAACATTGAATATTGGGAAGGCTTTCTCTCCATAGAAATGTATGGGATAACTGCTTAAAGTGAAGATTCATATTTTTTTTGGTTCAGTGTGATGTCTTGTGGTAAATAGTCATCATATTTTCCCTTCAGTTAAGTGGCACTTTGTGAAGAAATGTAGAAAACAAAAGTTGGAAAGTGCCGGAAGTAGCAATGAGTTCTAAAGTATAATCCCTCTACTTATTTTGGTTGGACTTTTGTCATTAAGTCCAGCAAGTTTCCGTCTATGTTGGCATGTCATATCTACTGCCCGTGTCCAACAAGGAAGTAAAATTATAATCGTCACCAAAATTGCAAAATTACAAAAGACTAGGCATGATTTTTAGTAAAGTCTTAAATTTAATTATGTCAACTCAGAAATTATCAGCCTGACCTGTCATTAACAACAATGACTCTGTGGTTTGTAGCAGACAGGGCTGGGTAAGAA